GGACAAAATTTAGTAAAAGGAAAAATACGTCTCAGAATTCGCTTAAGAATAATGGCATTGCAAGGACATCAGGTTATTTTTAATCATCCTGTATATATACAGAGTGTCCCAAAAGTGGCCACCCTCTTTTATCTTTTAAATTAAAAGTGATATACCATAACAAATGTATATCAAATTAAATGGTTTAAACTAAACTTTGTTGTGAGCATAATAGTTGCTTACAAAAGCTATTCGTGTTAACGAATGGAGAAGTGTGCATCAATTTTTTATATTAATGTGGATATTTTGATGTAAGAAAAAAGTTGTAGCGCTGTTTGAATATATAATATATATATATATATAAATTTCCATAAAACTTTTTTTAATATTATCTTAGTTTTTTTGCAATAAAAATAAAAGCGTTGAAATCATTTCATTGAAACGTTTAAAATTATTTTACTCTTACATTTTGTTGATCTTAATGTGACATTTTTTAAACGCTTTCATATTTATAGATTTGCCAATAACATAGAAGATATATTTTCTTTATCGACACTGACACTATTATTGTATTTTGGTGTTGCATTTTGTCTTTATGGTTTTGTATTTGTTACTGTAAGTATTAGAGGAAAAATAACGAGAAAAATGTATATATATTTTGCACTTTTTTACTTTTCTAAAGTATCATTTCAGATATTTTATGAATAATTATAATATGAAGAACACTTAATATTATAATCTTATATGTGTGGGGGGAGGGGCGTGTATGTGTGTGTACAAATCCACATATATATTTTGTTTTCTATTACACTAACAAGGTATATTTTATATTTACAGATAATAAGCAGCAATGAAACAAGTTATATTTCTTTTTCACGGATAAGTTTTGCGATAGCTGGTACCATTTCTTTATTAGTGCTTTTGTTTTTTTATTGCAGTGGCGGAGAACTTGTTGCAAAAGAAGTATGTTTTTTTACGTTTTTATACACTTAAATGTATCTTCAACAGAAATTAGAGAAATAAAATTTTAATTAAATTAATTTACGATTATGATAACGACTAATATAAAAATAATGCGAATATTTATTATATATATTTATTATATATGTTAAGTGCGAAGCAGTATATCGTGCTTTGTGCGATCTCGAATGGTACACATTGGAGCCGTCGGAATCGA